CTCCAACACCAAGTCAATGAACCTATCGTTGAAACCACGCAAGTGTAAGTCCATGTCTATCGTGAGTGGCAAATCAACGGACATTAGCTTCATGATCGCGGTAAGAAGAACTAAAGACGCACCGGAGAAATTCATGGGAGGCTACATAACATTCTTGAGCAAAACCAAAGAGACTTATGACATTTTGGTGAAAACAATAGAAACTACAATTCCGAGATCTCATACCTCCATGAAATATGATCTTGATATGTAAATGTAAATTTCTTCTTTAATTGTGCAAATGACCTCTGATATATGCATTGTGATGTATGTTAACTTTTGATTAACTTACAGATGTCCCAAGTATGGCATTCTCATCATTCACCATTACGAAATCATAGAATTTTCGCATTAATTATGCAAATTAGGTCATCATTTGCATAATTAGTATCTATTGAAGTTCCGCCTGCCATAGGTTACATAGTATAATGTAAAACACTGTAATTATAGAATTTCCTCATTAATTATGCAAATGAAGTCCTCATTTGCATAATTTACATTTAATTATGTACATCTCTCTCTCTCAGCTACCTTCACAAAAAATAATGAAGACATTCTCATCATTCACCATTGCGAAATCATAGAATTTTCGCATTAATTATGCAAATTAGGTCAGCATTTGCATAATTAGTATCTGTTGAAGGTCTGCCTGCCATAGGTTACATACATTACATGTATGTAAGTAGTATAATGTAAAACACTGTAATTATAGAATTTCCTCATTAATTATGCAAATAAAGTCCTCATTTGCATAATTTGCAATAAATTATGTACATCTCTCTCTCAGCTACCTACACACCAAAAATAATGAAAATATGTTGTTCCTGTCTGGACTTATTGGCTTTTAAACATTTCGCCAGAAAGTGCCCTGCAGTTCCAGAACAAGCCGCTAGGGGGCCCAAACTCATATGACTTCTTCCCAAGCACGAGAGCTACATTCCATCAAAATTTCATGACCCTAGCATGTCCAGATCGCGAGATATCAAAACCGGAAGTTGCGCTGCAGTACCAAGGGAAGCCACTAGGGGGACCAAAATCTAATCATTTCCAGTTTTCGTCACACCCTACCAACACACCAAGTATGAAACCAATCCATCCAGGCGTTCTTGAGTTATCTTGTTGACCAACAGACGGACAGACGGACGGACAGATAAACGCATCTGAAAATATAACCTCCATGACACATTTCATGGAGGTAACAACTATCGAAAACATAAACAAATCAGCCATAAGTAACGAATACAAACTCAGGGTATACATGGAGTATGCTTTCCCATCTTGGAGGTACATGTTGATGGTGCATGATCTGACAGATACACAGTTACAAAAGCTTGATGCTATCCACACAAAGGCGATCAAAACTTGGCTGAAAATCCAACCCAGTGCTACAATCGCTATCCTGTACAACACCAGGGGTCTCAACTACAGAACCATATCAGACCTGTACCTTGAAGCCCACACTCTAGCCTACAGTAGGTCCACTCTCATAGCTGACGACAAGGTGAAGCAGGCTGTACTGACCAAATTAGACCGTGAATCGCAGTTGACAAGGAAAATGCAGAAACGGGGTATTAAAACCCGCCACACCATCCACCAACAAGCCACCTGCGCGGCAAAAAGACTTAGAATGGCCTTCAGTACGTAAACACATCAAACAACAGGTGACTGACATGCGCCATGATGTGTGGAGTGAGCATCAAAAGAACATACTGCAACAAGGACACATGTTACAATTGCTTGAGGAGGAGAAGTGCGATCTGACGTGGCGGTCAACCATCTACAACTTGCCAAAAGGTATCTTAAGTTTCGCGGTGCGCGCCTCCATAGACGCCCAGCCTACCTTCTGTAACCTGGCGACGTGGGGGAAACGTAGCAGTGACAGATGCAAACTGTGCGAGGACCGAGAAACACTTCACCACGTTCTGAACCACTGCAGTGTCTCTCTTCAGCAAGGACGCTACACATTCCGACACAACGCTATACTGAAGCACATAGCGGACAGCATACAGGAAGCCATTAACTTCTCACAAATTACTGCCACTCTATATGCGACATCCAAGGACACACAACCAACGGAGGAACTCTGCCGGTACACATACTGCCTACAACCCAGAAACCTGACTTAGTCACTTACTTCCCAGAGCAAAACACTATCCATATTCAGGAACTGACCGTGACGTTTGAACAGAATATCAGAACCAGTCAACAAGTATGCAGCCCTAGCGGCAGACTTTAGAACAACAGGCATCACCACAACTCTTACCAGATTCGAGATCGGATCTAGGGGACTCATCACACCCGACAACAAGAGCAGACTTAGGACTTTGTTTCATGTAGTTAAGTCAAAACCACCATGTACCAAAGAGCTTATTCAAAGACATTAGCCGTTTGCCATTTTATCGTCCTATAGTATATGGAATGCACGTCACGAGCCGAATTTGGACTCAGATACCTTACTGTAACTACATTGAACTTATCATTAATACCGGCCTACTCCCTGAAACTATAACGTGGTTAAGTCGCACTAGATAGAAGAAGTAACTTTTAAGCCAAAGTCTAAAAAATTATTGTGATAAACTGTGCAATATTTAAGGAAACTGTGCAATATTGTGTGTCCCGATGTATTGTATAAAGTTATGTGTCTAATGTCTCCCTCCATGTTCGGTCAGCTATGGCCGACGTGACCTGGGCTCAATGTTCCTTTCTTTTATTTGTGAATAAAGAATGGTTTTACCACTAGTCACCCTTAGCATGCGCCATCTTGTCGTAAAAAGAGTAGCACTCAAACACGCCTGAGGTAGTGATATACCTCAAATTAGGTGGTTCCAGGTCCAGGGTTACAATTTTCATGAGTTGGAGTTTGGACGGAAAACGAAATAAACATCTGATGACTCATAAACAAATGTTGCGAGGGGGAGCATACTCACTGTTTGAGGTCCTTGCATCTGGCTAAGAGACAGAAACTAAAAAATGAAACTAAAATGACCTATCTATGCTACCCAGCAATGTTGACCATTTCGAACTGGCCATTTGGACCTTCCCATCTGGAACGTCCCCACTGAGGATGGCATCAGATGCTTCCCCAGTACTGGGACATCTACTAACTGGCAGCCATTGCTGGGCGTAACCCTTGAGGGGCAAGGAGATGCTTAAGCTCTAACTATTTTATAGTAGCGTTGTCAAACAGATCTTGATGTATCAGAATATCAGTCTGACAAGAAATGATTTTCCATCATTCATTTTTTTATCATTTTCAATTTATAGCATTAATCGCAGTCGGTAAAATCAAGACGGAGTCATATCAACAACAAAGAAGTAGTACTAATGTCTCAAGTCAAAGTTGTTCTAAGCCACCGAAAATGTTCATGGATTGCATGCAAAAAGTGTGCTAGAAAATGATTTAAAAAACCGTCTTTAAGTGTTGGCCTTCGTGGATTTTTGGCACAGATTCGCCTAGACATACCGTACGTAGAACAACACAACCATCACGTTTAAACCAAGTAAATTCTGGGGGCAATTTCACCCATTTTTCAGTGTCCACTTGTAGTCACCGTTTTTCAATGCGACTATAAATGCGAGAATTCATCCCAAACGCGACCAAATTTGGGATTGACCAAAAGGACAAACTTTAGCAACTGCAAGTATCTTGAATTCCTAATGATCTTGCCTCGCTAGATTTCGCAAGAACACGCAATAGAATACGTAATTCCCTACATCGACATTGTTAAAATTGGATTCACTCATTTTGCGTACACATATAAAATACTGATTAAGAACAGATTAAAAAAAACACAGACCATCGTCACCAGTGTTAAAAAACACCATAATTGACGTATATGTAACAGGGAAGATTGGAATCGCCCGCTCGCTTTAGATTTGGAGTCTGCGGAGGATGTCATCCATGAAATTGGAAAAACCAGTTATTGACTCAATTATTGACTGTCTCACAATGGCCTGATGCAAATATCTGAGTCTTATTTACATATTCACTTACCCATGCTGAAATTGATTGAAATTTTAAATGTGAAATAACTCGGTCTAATTTCCAAAGCGTTTTGATGCAATCAGAGTTTCCCCTTTTAAAATTGAAGATTGTTCTGGAAGAATTCCTTAACTTGTAAATGCAAGTTTATGCATGTGCATTTTTGTATTTGCACGTTCATGTGTATGTATTTACGTTCGCATGTCTGTCTAGTCTCCGTCTGCACATGTGCGTTTCTGTTTTTTTTTAAATATGTCACTCCATACAAAGTATTAAAGTGTATTTTGTTAAATGGACCAAACACCTAGAAATTCGGCGAGACAGTAACATGGACAAAACCATGAATGCTTTTAGATCAGAGATGAGTTTTATGGTAATTTTGGAAGAGACCGTTATTAAATAGTGTTAGTATTGGGAAAAGTTAACTTTCTCAGATTCGATCCTAATTTATTGTCCACTTATGGGGGCCCTTTTTAAAATCGTTCAGATAGTCGGGCAGTTCTGTCGGTATATTTGTTTATACAGTTCAATAAAAAAACAAATTCAAGACCTTTCCGTAATCGTAATGTTGGACTAGTCTGTTGAATGAATAAGAAGACTTTTATGGAGGGGGGATATTCTATCAACACATCATTTTCCGTTGCTCTTTTTTTTGGGTGGGGGGGAATTGTTCATATGGGAAAGTCCATAGGAAGTTTTACTTGCTTGCTTATGAAAAATCCCCCCTCCCTCTCCCTCTCTGTGTGTTTGTGTGTGTGGTGTTTACGCGTACGCTTGTGATTGTCATCTTTTGCTATTTTTAGATAAAATATGTCGCCGTTGTATGTTTCAAATGAAAACTTTCACTAATATAAATACATTGCGAATATTTGTTCATTGCATTTAAACATTATCATACTAACCTAAATCGGTTTCAAAATTTCAGTATAATTTTTTTAGAAATACTTTTATGTATTAAACCGTTCGGAAAGATACATACCTGTTCGATGAATTTGAGCTCCCAGGCCATTGCATGTTTCTGATGGAAGCACCTGTTCTTCCAGGTACGGTCGATTCCTCCACACTACCGCAGGTCATGAAATGGTGCAGGCCAAATCCGAGGCAAATGATGAGAAGGCAAGCTCTAATGGGCCTCGAACTTTTTCTACTCCAGCCTCTCGCCATTTTTCCCACAACGTTTTAATCGTCGTTGTCCCTAATTTGCTATACTATAAAAAATGGGAAAATATAGATTTATTATAAATCCAGGAGAAAACCGAAAATCAAGTATGCGTTACATGCAGTAAAATTTGAAATCACCATGATTGAGTGTATTTAAATATATAATACAATCTAGTTAGTATAGTCACAGTTTAATTTCGGACGAAATGCTTTGGTAATCTAATGCGTACCTCACTAGTACATCTAAAATCATTAAAAAACAGAAAGTAACAAATCCACAAAACCATACATGAGCGCGCGTATCGATAACAGAATATGATATATTTCACTTTTTTGTTATTTCTAAATTAAAAAAAAAAGAAAATTTGTATACAACATTCACTGTGTGAAATTTCACAAACAAATATATAAAATGGAAGAATAAAACGATTATTTACCGGTACAGTTCTGGACACCAACGTCTGGTTCTGAAGTATCTAATTTAGGACTAAGCAAGGCTCCCAGGTGCACCTCACAAGAAGTGGCAATATCAATGTGGACGTGGAACCTGGCGTAAATCCCTCACTACAGTAGTATTTGTTTTTCCCTGACGGTCCCACACATCCGTATGCAGTTCCGCCAAGCATACATCGACATCCGGGTGCGATCGAAGCTCTAGTATTACCATGCAACTTTATATTTTGCATCCACGATTTCTTGCTTTTTTCATTAGGAAGTTTTGTTTCTTCCTTTTCGGTGCAAAATCATCAAAGCTGGTCTGAAGTGCTCCTTTCATTTGAATTGATAAACGCACCTAACTGTTAAAAAGACACTCCCTGCTCAGCGGTGTGGCGATGGACCCCGGAGCTTTCTTTGCTGGTAACATTCGCCTGCAAACACGCAAACAGGTCACATTGTTGGCGTTGCGGGGATCCTCTTCACGGTTAAATCGGTTTCGTGGGTCCTCGGTTTATTTCAGGGAGTTACGCAATTTTTAAACAACCACTAATAAAAAATATTACAAAATTTGTTTCTCCATTAGAACAAGGACATTATACTACAGGGGGCTGGGCTCAGAATTAGTACCTATTCAGCAACGTTCAACTCATGTGTGAAAAAAATTACACCTATATGCCAATCACCGCTTGATTTACATAAATTAAAAGCGCCCGCAAGCGGCCCCCGCTATTGTTAGAAAATTCACCATTCTGCGACCGGGCGACGGGCACATTGTTTGGAACAAGTTTGGAGTGATTCTGAGGGTTGAAATAATTTTGAGTATGATTATGAAGAATCGTAGGCGGACTTATCCACAAACGTAATACAACACTTGAAGCAGGGACCTTTGCTTGACTGTACACACTAGCGCGAGCGGGTGTTTAATTAATATTTCTGTGTTTTAAACTGAAGCCCTAAGAAACAAACACAACGTGCCAAGCTTCTTTTTTTTTGCCTAAAAATAGAAACAGACAAGGACTAGATAAGATCGGGAACCCACATGTATATGAAACATGAATGTCTGGACATGTTCCTGGTGTGCGTTTCTGGTACATAAATGGCGATCTTCCGCTTGGCTTTGGAAAATGCCACGCCTAAAGTACGGACTCGATCTTCTCCCATGACTTTCTAAGTCTGCCGTACATGTCCATCAGCAGAATTCCGTACATGGGGCAATGTTTGAACTCAGCGACCGAAAAAAAATCGACAACGACAGCCGATAAAATGTACGGGAAGGTAAACAAAAGGGTCCGTACATTCAAGGAAAAAACGTTCACTAATACAGAAAAATCGGCGTAACACGGGCGAAAACATAAGTGACTTCGACGAAAATGGCTGTAAACTTGTCCATGTTTGTCCTACAGCGATGAACCAACATCAAAATGTCGGCCTTATTCTTCACTGCGCGATGTTGACGTCTGCGCATGGCAGCCGTGCAACCCAAATAAGGAAATTGTCGGAAAACACAAGGGTAGCGAAGTAATCTTCGGAAGGCTTTGGTACCCATGACGTCATAGTGCTGCTCATTAGCTATGCCGACGTCATGATTCGGCCGAAAAGCCCGCCAAGGGTGAGTCCAACGTTGGCATGAATCGGGGACCGCTCGGGCGTGAAGACAAAGACGCAGCGGGACACGGCGCGGCGGACAATGGCCACCGCGGGGTGTTAATTCCGTGCGCGGTCCTTCCGTATAATGTCTTTGGTTAGAAAGAGATGATAATACATTACAATTGTACCCATACTTGTTCAAATGTTGATTAGTATTTAATGGAGAAAATATCCCTTTACTGATTGAAATTTGAAACATTTCTTTGCGTTTGTGACCACTGGCGTGAGCAGAGGCTATGCAAGTGTTCGCCCGTTTTCGTTCTTGCGATCTTAAGGTACGATACTGGCATTGTGATAGTATTGTTGGGCACATGAATTGTTATTGGTTAAAATGGCTTGCCATTTATGTATTGTTGCGGCTTTTAAACTGTACCATTTAGTGGAACGCTGTCAGTACATGATGTATGGAGAGACAGCACAAGCGGAGTTCGAATTCGGTAGGGTAAAAAAAATCGGAAGAGTTTTCAAATCATTCTTGGGAAAAATAAACTAAGCCTTAATAAAATGCAACTACTTAAAGCCCCAGTGTCACAGCCGTTGTGACATTTGATTAATACAAGGGAATAACCATAGGAAACACGCCAATAAAGTTCATTGTTGATGCAGCGCCACCTATTTTGCGAAAATATAACGAAAACTGCACCTCCGGATCAGATTCCGCCGCGGTGCGGCCAAACCAGAAGTGACGTCACACGGGGTACCTCCTGTGCCGCGGGAAGAACAACAACATGTCTGCAGACGTCGACAAGATCATGGGATCAAACATGACAAGATCTGCGACTTGACTAGGCTACCTTTCTACTTCATTCCTTATTTTTCCTACGTAATGTATCCATCCTTCGTCATGGTTAAGCGTTGTGTGGCTTTTGGTTGTAATAATTTGTTGAAAACTCCGCGGAGACGGCGATTCGGGAGCCTGGATTCGGAGTTTTTCAGTGCTGAAACAGCCGACACTGGACTCCCAGTGTTGACGTACCTTCGGCACTGGAGATGTAGGACGGGAGCCGCCTTACCTCTGTACACCGAGTGCTGAGAGAGGAGCCCATTACTTTGGTACTTCTGCGGCAGATATAGTTGATTTCTGTGAGTATTTGTTTGGACAAAACGACACGAACGTGTTTGGGTGTTTTCGTCATTAGGGGGAGGGGAGCGCTGGGGGAAACGTAACGTTAAACATCATTTCGTGCTGCATGTCAAACACATGCTAATATTTTGTACGCGGCAACAGTAAATTACTAGTACATAAAACTATCCGGGATGACATTTACTGTCTTTGTATATTGTGTGTTTGAAACTTTTTACGTGTGGTCTCATAAATAGCAATTTTCACTGTGCTGGACCTCTTACTTTGACTATGTGCCCGGTGTATACAGTAGTATAACTAGTCTGTAAATAAAAACTTGTGATCAGTGCTTCCTCGTAATTTACCTTTCATGCAGATCATTGACGAGCTCATGGAGGACACTGTAAGTTACTTTCTGATTATATGCCTTTTACAGAGTTGTTCATAAAATGCAAGAAGTGTAACTTTTAAATGCCTTTTTCTTTTGACAGTAGAAATTAATTCAGAGTATTTTACTGTCAATGTAAATTTGCAACATGAGTTTAAGAAATCATCAAGCATGAATTGCTTTGTTTGGTAAGCAGTTTGGTTTCTAGTAACAAACCTAGTGCAATTTTACATGTTTCGAAATTGTTAAGGCCACACCTTTTTTATTTGTTGTGTGTCAGATTTTTTCAGAAAAAATATGAAGCCACAGGGTGAAAAAAAAACAGGCCAAGGCACCCCACGAAAGCCGGAAATGTTACAATATGATCCATGAAATGTACACACCAGACTGTTTTATAATAAAAACAATAGATGTTGAACTTTTAAGGAAACATGCATTGTTACATTGAAAAACTTTAACAACTACTACGAAAATGACTTTCTTCAACTGTTGGGGCCAAACTATGTCTTTCATTGAGCATTTTGCAGTTGATTTAGAACCAATTTTTTTTTGCAAATCAGAAAGAAAAATTGACAGAGAGAATCCGAGATACAACAAATTAAATTTCTGTGGCCTAAAGTAACAGTTCATCTCAATGTACAAGTAGTAGCATTGACTCTTCTTGGGCACCATTCTTTCCACTTGGTGACTATGCCCTTTACCCACTAGGATAAAATTGTTCAGATAGAGCTGAAAGTATTCACTTTGATCTGGTGAATCAATTCATCTCGATCCAATTTTATCCTAGTGGGATTAGGGCCTATGTGACATCGAAAAACCATAACACCTTTCTTTTAGGTTCCATGTGAAGAGCTGGGACAGCATGTTGGAGTCCAAACTCAACCAATGTCAGTCAGAAACCGAGGTAAAGATGATGGTGATGTTTACTTTGTAGTATTGTCAAAATTTTTAGTAAGTGTAAATGTTTGGGTTCAGAGAGTGGTTTGATAGCCTTGTTGGTAAAACATTCATTCAAAGTATTTTCAATAAATTTAGTTGCGACATCGATGAGAAACATTTTCCCTTATTTTTTTTCACTTCTGTGCTTCAGGCTATCCCTGTTATATGGTGGACATTGTGGTCCAGTGAAGCCTGCTATGCCCAGAACCAGTAGGCAAGGATGACTTTGGAATCTGAGGAGGAAGAAGGGGAGGAGGACTTTCAACATACTTTCCAACATCATGTGCATGTGTAAGGTTCTAAATTTATTTTTCTATTCCCAAATAGTGATGATTTGGAGTATGACAACATACCCATTGATGCACCACCAGTGCCACAAGAAAACAAGTCTATACTATAATTTAGTCTTTCACTTTGCACTGATACAGCTCTTTGCAATGTGCTTTGCCTGCGGAGCTGGTGAGACTTTACCCCTGGAAACAGTAGGGTCATTTCTAAGAGTGATTCAGTTTTGCATGTTGTGCAAAAGTGTGAACACCTGGTGC